ACCTCCCTTCAGGAATTTCCCCCAAAGTGCGCGCACTCTCTTTCTCATAGTGTTACATTTCTCTGCAAGAAACGTCTTTATCAGGGGCGCCTGGGTGGCTTAGTTGGTTAAGCGTCCGGCTTTTGCTTAGGTCATAATCTCACGGTTCGTGGGTTCGAGTCCCGCGTCAGGCTCTGTGCTGACTGCCAGCTTGGAGCCTGGAGCCTGTTTCAGAGTCTGTGACTCCCTCTCTCTCTGACCCTCCCCTGCTCACGCTGTCTCTCTCTCTCTCTCCTAGAAATAAATAAAACATTAAAAGAAAAAAAGAAACGCCTTTATCAAACCCTCAGGCAGGCAGCAAGACGCTGCTTGAAATGGAGGGGCCGTGGAGAAGTGAAAGATACAAGAGAACAAATACAAACAAATATTTCAATAAATTACCGGGCAGTGAATGCCGAAGTGGGCATCAGAGATGCTAATGAGGGGCAGCAGGAGGTTGGGGTCCTGGAAAGGGGCTGACAGGGGCGAAAGGGGAGACCCAGAGGTCATCGAGTGGCATGTCATCTCTCTGGCATCCTGTCCAGTGAGGCGGCTACGACTGCCTTCATTTTATAGGTGGAGAAAGTAGGGCTCGGAGGGTGGAGCGACCTGCCTCAGGTGGCACAGGTCCGTGTGGTCTGTCTGAGCCCGCAGCACGCCTGGGGGTCACCAAGGGAGAAGGGACTTCGGAGCCACCGCGGCTGCCCGCCTTCTGGCTTTGTGAACTCGAATCCGCCGACACCACTGTGTGACCCTGGGTGTGGTGGGTCCCATTTCTCTGCCTCGGTTTCCTCCTCTGTAAAAGGAGGTCAGTAACGGCCTCCATCTGGAAGCAGGGGGTGAGGGGACACGTATCTAGTGCCTGGAACGTGGCCTGGCCCCGAGGGAGCCCTGTGAATGGGAGCTTCCACTGTGACCACGCCTGAGCCGGGCATGCGGGTGGGCAGAGGGGGCGAGGCCCCTGGACTGGAGCTGGAGAGCTTCCTTTCTGGCCATCCCTGTGGGAGTTTGGGAGTTGGGCGGGGCCCCCTGGAGGGAGGAGCAGCTCAGGAGCTGATTTCTGTGGGTGGGGAGGGTGGGTGAGGCCACGCAGGGGCCACTGGGGAGTGTCCTACGGCCCAACAGCCCTCTTTCCCCCAGAAGGGAAGGAGATGAGCCTCTAGGCCCCTACACTGGGCAGAAGGGTGAAGGTAGCATCAGAGAGCGAACAGGATAATGGTGGGTATTTCTTTCTTCCTCCTCTGTCTCCCTCCTCTTCTTCCTTCCTCTCTCCTTTTCTCCTCTGTCTCTTCCCCTTCTCCCGTCTCCTCTCTTCCTTTCTCTCGTCCCCACCTTGGTCTAAAATGCCTGCGAAAAAGAGCCTGCTCTCAGAGGCATGTTGTGAGTAACCCGCTTGTGTACTTGCGGTTTACCTACCTGTAGAAAATCCGTACCCAAGATCGCCACATGCTGTGGGCAAATGGTTTTCGATTCCGCTCTACAAATATTTACTGTGCTCTGGTTAACTGAGCGCACTTTGTGCCGGTGGGGCCAGAGAGATGCAAATGGGCAAGGCCAGTCCTCGGAGGAGCCAGTCTGGGGCCCCTGGCCGATGTTGGCAGAAGACAAGCCCCCTTTCCCGAGGATACTGAAGAGCTCTCTGTCTGCCGGTGCCCTGGGCCCACTCCCCTCTCCAACCAAGTGCAGAAAGGGTCACGGCTGCCAGTTCTGCAAGATCTTAACAAGACAGTCCATTGAAGGCGTAGTCGACAGAGCCCTGACTGCAGGTACTGGGGGCTCAGTAAATACCTGTCGGTCCACGGCTGATGGCACACACAAGCTGGCGTTCTGATTTCATGTCTGTTTTCCCCTCGCCTGTGAGTTTTCCAAGATCATCCATAAAAATAGAACTTTCCTCCTTGACACGTTTTTTTGGGACCACACCAGCCTTTGAAATGGACAGGCGCCGCTTTTGTTTGCACGTTGTTTCATTCAGAGAGTAAGTTTCGACCCTAACAACCAAGGTTTAGCCGGGTCCCAAGATGAGCACAGTGCTGGTTTGCGAGCGCTCTCGGGGTAAAAAGGGAATCAGAAAAATAAGGGAAAATAAGATCTGAAGAGCAACTGGCGGTTGCAGCCAGAAAGACTGTTCCCGAAACGCTTTAGGCTCTGACCTCCGATGTAGAACTGTGAGTAGTTCTGGCGGATAAATGACAAGCAGGAGTGATGTGTACTTCTTCTGGGCTGGATCGTTGAATTGTTCAAGCGAGACCTCCCAGAGACTTCCTCTCCTCGGGCACTGCAGGCAGCACTGTTGGGGGTGGGGGGCTGCTTCAGCCTCATCCTTGAAACGTGCCACGTGGACAGCTGCTGGCCCGCAGCAGACGTGGTGGAGTGAGACGGGAGCCCTGGCTGTCTTAAGCCTCTAAATTTAGGGCTTGTTTTTTATCACAGCGTAACTTGGCCTGTCCTGACTGCTACATCGGGAACACAGAAACCCGGATTTGACAGCCAGTCCTTCCTTATCCTCGCTTCAAAGTTCAAAATATCAAATCTTCTCCCTTCTCCTCAGTCTTAATCTCTCAACACTGTGCTTTATCTGGCCAGCATGTACCAGGTAGCATGAGTGAAAGAGGTAACAAAGTTTTGTTAGACTAGTGATGTGCAGAGAACAATGGCTCCACTTGATGTAGGGAAGTTTACAGTGTGACGGGGGAGACAAAACAGAACCTTTCCCCTTACGCCTAATGTGCGTAATCACGGGCTATTAGGACTGACCTTTACTGTGAACTTTAGAGGAGATATAACTTAACTTTGTAGCCAAGAAGGCATTACTTCTCCATCTCTGACTTATCTATACCTACCCAGTGCCCATCATTAGGCTGAGCACTAGAGAGAGACAGAGGTGAATAAAACCCAGCCTAGTGGGTACAGTGACCCAAGAGTGGTTTAGGACCTAGTGCTCAGAACACCTAGGAGGAAAGAAGATACTTCGGGTGAGAAATCAGGGAAGGCTTCTTAGAAGAGGTGATAGTTTACCTACAAAGCCTTATCTTTCACCATGTGTTTGGGCCACTTCTTGACTCATTGTGGGCATGCAAAAATGGATGTTGAGCACGGCTCCCCACTTCTCCACCATGTGGGCCAACTCAGCCCTCCATGACCCACCAGAGATTACGCTTTTGATCTCTCCCTCGGCCCTGGGACTTCCCAGACTGCCTTATGCATGTCCAGACATTTGTCCAAGTACAGTGTGGGCTCTGCCCTGGAAGGCGAGAGCCCGGTTGGGTGACCCCTCCCTGCTCTGTGAAACCAAGAGTTAAATGAGAGCCTGGCATTCTCGGCAAAGTGTAGCAAGTGCTCATCTAACCACGCTCCCTGCAAGGAGTGCCTGCCTTGGTCGGGTGGGTGGCAATGTGTTCAACTCCCATTCCCGGTGTCCTGTGGGGAGAATTGAGCAAAGTGACTTAGCTCTCGCTTGTTCAGCTCTGCAGCCTTTAGCAAGCAGCTCATTCACAAGTGACTGCAAATTAATACAGTACAGACCAGCTACATAAATATCGCACCCTCATTGATTGTCTTCTGTAACCAAAGGCAAGGCTGCTGACTTTGTTACTTTGCCTACCATGCAACTCTGGAGGTCGTCTGGGCAGGTTTTGCTGCATATTTCTGTTTGCAAGTTGTCCTTGATGTATTGGGAAGAGAGTATTGCCCCTTACATTCAGATTCAATAAGTATTTATCAAATGCCTCTTATCTGAGAGGCATCAAAAGACATATTATCTTATTTTATTTTTGAGTTAATAGCAGTAATAATTTGATAATATGACAGGACAGTCTTTACGATGCCTTCCTCCCTCCCCCCGCCCCGGGTAAATATAATTATTGGAATTTAAATAATCTTTTAACTTTAAAAAACTCGAAGTAAACTTACAAGGAAAATAAAAAGACATGACAGCCCCTGTCTCTGCTCCCAGAAACCACAAAGGGCAGAAGAACAAGGTCTTCAATGCTGGGTGGTAGCTAAATGGACCCTCGGAGCCGATTTTCAAAAGTTAGAACGGGGTAAGTGAGCCACTGATCGCTGCACTATTCTCCTGTATTCACTTTATTGATTGTTAACCAACTTCAATGCATGGAATTGGAAATTGTAAATTACTTCCCACAATGCAGGAAAACAACGCCATCTTTCCATTTACCTGCCAGTGCTGAGGCCGGCTGGGTTTTTCCATCAGTTGTTTGGATTCCGCTGACAGTGACTTCGTGGGGGCCACCTCTCACTTCCACCCTGCTGGGGGGTACTCGTGAGCACTTGGAGGAATTTGCAGGGAGCCCTACCCTCGGGGAAGCCAGAGTTTTAAAATCCGTAAGCAAGTCCCTTTTGCCTTGTTGAGGGAGAGACTTTGGGGTAAACCCCCGGGAAAGCTCAGCTGTCGCCTGACCCCTGCGGGTGGTGCCGTTTCCCTAACCTTGACCCCCAAGTCGGCCGTTTTTATCCCCTTTCCAAAACGTCGCTCGAGCCTGGCTGTGGTTTGAAAGAAAAAACACACACACACACACACACACAAAAACACAAACAACCGCCCGTTTTGAGCTTCGGCCAAAGGACACTCGCTCCCCGGGGGCTTGGGGGCAACCTCTCCATCACCTCGTGCAGGGATGTTTAAATAATCGCAGACCACCAGCCCCCTTTCCGCTCTCGGTGCCCGACCCGCTCCCTGCCACTTCTCTCCACGAACGCCGGCAGGAGTGGGTGGCAGCACCGAGGCGATTTTATTCGCATTTTTTCCCTCCGGGTTTTGTCATGGAAACGCTGACACTACCTCATGACGGCGGCCGAGCCCGGCCGGGGACTGAGGGCTTTTGGGACCCTGCGGGAGCGCGGCGCGCACTCCGCACTCCCCGGGAAACAGCTGGACGCGACCAATTCCCGGGTAGGGGCGGGGGAGGCGCGACGCTCCGCCCCGGCGCTCGGCTCCCTCCCTCCTCCCGGCTCTCCGCGGGCGCCCTCCCCTCGCCGGGGGCTGCGAGTTGCATTTGGTAAAACCCAGCCCGGAATATATAGATCATTGGAGCGCAATGAAGTAGCCTTTGGAGCGGAGGGAGGGGGCCCGCTCGACAGCCACAGCGGCCAGCGCAGCGGCGGCGGCGGCACCATCCGCGCTCGCACCCCAGCCGCCCGGCCCGCGAGGAGGCAGCGGCGGCCGCCGGCGGGAGCGGAGGCGGCGGCGGGGACGCGAGGAGGAGCAGCGGGAGGAGCCGGAGCGCGCAGCCGGCGGGTCCACGCATCTCCGCACTTCCAGAGCAACTCCGGAGCCTTCCGTACCCCTGCCCGGGGCTGGGGGCTCCGAGAGCGGCCGCGAAGCCCTCCCCAGAGTCCGCCCTCCCGAGCCCTGCCCAGCCCTGCCCTGCGCCTCCCGGGCTCGGCTCCGCGCGGCAGGGTCCCGGCTCCTGCGCCCCGGGCGCGCCCCCCGGACACCCCGGTCCCCGCAGCCAGGACAAAGCCATGAAGCCGGCGCTGCTGGAAGTGATGAGGATGAACAGAATTTGCCGGATGGTGCTGGCCACTTGCTTGGGATCCTTTATCCTGGTCATCTTCTATTTCCAAAGTATGTTGCACCCAGGTAGGGGGCGCGTTAGCGTGGTTTTGTTGGATATTTTCTTCTCTCTCGCGCTCTCGCTCGCTCGCTCGCTGGCGCCTGGTTTCTGCCTCTTCCAACCTTACCTCTTCTCCCTAAGCCACCTCGGGACTCCCTGCCGCCCGGGTCGACTAGTCGGGATGGAGAGGAGGAGGGAAGACGTGCTCTCTCTCCTCTCCTTCCTCCTGGCTCCAGGCTGGAGGATGGGAGCAAGGAGGAGCGGTAGTTTTTTTTTTTTCTTCTTTCTCTCTCTCCCTTTTTTCTTTGTGTCTCTTGTCTGTCTGTCTGCGAGGTAGCAGAGCAAGGTAGAGAGGTTGTGGGCAGCTGCTGACGTGGGGGGCCGGTTTGAAGAGAACGCAACTCCGGTTGGATGCAGCGATCTGAGGATGAAAGGGGCGCCGGGAGGCTGCCGCCCTGCGCCTCGGCGCGCTGCCTTTCCCTGGGCTGGGGGCTGGGGGCTAAGGGTGTGCGCCCCGGAGAGGTGGCAGGTCCCTGCTGGGGAGCCCGAGGCTTTGGCTCCCACGTGTCCTGGGCTCAGCGCCGCGCAAAGGTGTGGGGAGAGGTTTGGTGCCCCGCACTGCCTCTCCACCAGGCTGGGGAAGGGTCTGGGCGCCCGTTGTGTGCCCCCGGGGTCTGGCTCCGCATTGACCTTGCGGCTGGTGCCCTGGGGCTTGCTTCACCCTGCGCGCCCACCCCGACGGCTCTCCCGACCCTGCGCTGGTCATGGCTCCTGGGTCACGCAGTGGCCGCAGCAGTTTTGGAGGAAACTTTGGCCCGGTCCTGGACTGACCGTCAGGCTCTTGCCCCACTCCTGGGTTCCGGACATCTGAAGCCCCCAGAGGGCCCCGGGGCGCCTGGCAATGAGCCCCCTCCCCCCAGCCCTCTGTAGCTTAGGCAAGTTACCCATCTGAAATCGGGACTGGGGGAGGCTCGAGGCTTGCCCCTTACAAAAGGCGCTATGGAAAGTTTGGGACCTGGGGAGGGAGGGGCGCCCTTGAGCTCGCGGCCAGGGGTTCACCGCTTGGCCCCGAAGCCCAACAGGTACAAAAACCTTCTGAGGAGGCTTCGGGGTGACACCGATCTGCCCGGCGAGCCCCGCCCCCCACCTCACCCCCGACCTGCCCCCCCCCCGGGCCACATTGGCTCCGAAATCCTTTTTTTTTTTTTTTTTTTAACGCCTCCGAGTTGCCTTTCTCAGTGCAGCCACAGCAATAATTTGCTTTTATAATTGCAAGGAGGGAGCTGGAAACACATTTCCTTCCAGGGAAATGGGGTTGGATTTTTTTTTTTTCTTTTTTGCCTCCTGCGTTCTCCTTTCAGTGTGTATCTAACACTTTCAGCAGTCGCAGCCCCGAATTCTTCTAGCTTGGGTGGGTGGCAGGGGAATAAAACTGTTCTTTCCATCAATTAGGCAGGGCTGCTGGTGTGAGATTCCTTGACAGCGCCGGGACCAATCGGCCCCTCTGCCCCGCTCACCCTGGAGCAGTTGTTCAGGCGGCCAAGGATACGGTCTGACACTACCACTGGTAACCTCAGGACATCCGAGCCAGCCTTGTAAAAGATGGCTTTTGTTTGCAGTTGGGTATTTTTAGTTTCATGTCAGCAAACTGCAGCCGGGTTTGTCTCCTCACCCAAACCGGTGGTTGGGAAACTTCTAAGGGAATTTAAAAATGGACCTCGCTTATGCTCTGGGTGCAGCCAGCAAGGCCAGACACACGGCAGCCTCCCGGAGGCCAGGCCAGACTCCACCCCAGAGACTGAGGGGCTGGGTGGTGTGCAAGTTCACTGGGGCTCACCCAGGCGGAACAAAGGGCCGAGTCATTTGGTCTCGACTCTACATGTGTGTCTAGGTCACTTAAAATTTTGCCAGGATAGAACATGCCAGGTTGTTCTCTGCAGAAAGGCCCAGGACAAGGGTGGATCTTATTCTCCGTCCCGAATGCACTTTAACTTCTCTGTAGCTGTTAGTTGTCCAGGGAAACACTAACTGGTAATATCCCCAGTCTCCATGGTTTTCATACAGCCTGTGCCCTGCTTTTCATGTCTGAGACTTAGGAAATAACTTTCTAACCAGAGACACCAGGAAGAAACTTCTAACTTGTAACTAGCGCTTTGCTAAAATTATTGCCAGTTCTAGTTTACAGTGTCGACTTGAAAGTGGCATTCGACTTGTCTATCCAGCCTTTTGCGATCAGGGACAGAACTTTTTCTAACGCTGTCCTGATGAGGATCATCGGGCTGTCCTGATAAGGATCATCGGTCCTGACCTCTGCTCTCAGCCTTGCTTTCCTTCCTGGCCCCATTTCCTTTCAAGAGCTGGCATTTGCTTATTATTCATATCTATCTGAGTATGTTCAACTGAAAGGTCTGCCTTATGCTGAATTACATATGGTTCTATGAAAACTCCATGCCAATAGTTTATTAGGACACGGGCCATAAAAGTAGGCTTTGAAATCAATATTAAACATGTCCCTATCTTTTCTTTTCTGTTTTATTAAACTTCACGGTTGATGACAGCTGATGCTGAATCTTTTCTACTGCTTTGAATTTCTTTAAAAGTTAGCCGGATCTTTGCTTCTTTGAGGATTTGGGGTCATTTGTGTAGGATGATCCTTTGGCCTGGCTGTGCCGTTTCGGTCTTGAGAGATGTCCCCGGGACAGGCAGAAGGGACCACAGCATGACACAGATGGTGTTGCTAAAAATTTGGAGCCCTCTGGTAGGAGTTCCACATACCTGTGTCTGAAACAGAAAAGTAGTATTCCAAAAGAAATGGAGCCTGGCTTCATCGGTACCTTGAGAACACCGGGAGTGTGAGAGGTGGGGGAGAAACAAGGAGACAGCTGGTGATGGGCAGGGCTGGCGGCCTCTCCCTCTGATTCTAATCTGGGGCCCATTGTCTCTTCCACTTCTCTAATTCCTCAGCAAAGCATAAACTTGAGTAGTTGATCTTTAATTTGGTTGGAGGGTTCAGGAGAAGTGGGCCTTGTCAGTAAGGCGGCTTTCTTTAGATCTCTGACACTCTGAGTTGTAGTCTTTGTTTAGATTAGGGTTTTTTTAAAAAAAAATTTTTTTTACTATGTCTGTTTTTTTTTTTTCAGAGTCAGTGTATGTGTGTAGCCTGCACATGAGAGGGGAGAGAAGCAGAGAGAGAGAGAATCTTTTTTTTTTAAATTTTTTTTTAGCATTTATTCAGTTTTGAGAGACAGAGAATGAGTGGGGAAGGGGCAGAGAGAGAGGGAGACACAGACTCTGAAACAGGCTGAGCCATCAGCACAGAGCCTGAGGTGGGGCTCTAACCCACAAACTGTGAGATCGTGATCTGAGCCGAAGTCGGATGCTTAACCGACTGAGCCACCCAGGTGCCCCCGGAGAGAGGGAATCTTAAGCAGGCTTCACGATCAGTGCAGAGGCAGATGCGCGGGGCTCCATCCCACCACCCTGGGATAGTGACCTGAGCCAACATCAAGAGTCTGGTGTTCAACTGACTGAACCACCCAGGCGCCCCACGATTTTATGTTTTAGTAATCTCTACACCCAGTGTGGCGGTGAGCTTACAACTCTGAGATCAAGAGTCACATGCTGCACAGAATGAGCCAGCCAGGCCCCGGGGAATCAGGTTTTAGGCCCTATTCAAATCCCAATGTTTTACACAGTGTCTGACACACAGTAGGTTCTCGATAAAGTATCTGCTAGAGATAAGCAAGAGTAGCTCAGCTCTAGAGGACCCGCTTCTCTGGTTTTCAGGACTGTTACCAAGCCTTGCGGAGAATGCCCTGTCCGTGAGTCTGGGTCTGTGTGGTGGGAAGGGTGCCTTCCCTGCCTTCCTGGTCTCTGAGAGCCCTGCACACATGGATTCGGTTCAAGTCGTCGTCCTTGTACACCAGCGGGAGCATTCCCCGCGGCCTTGATTTGCTGCCCTGAGGTATGAGGCAGCTGGGGCGCTGCTCATGTCCTGGGTCCTGGGGAAACTCCGCCTCCGGTAGCCGCTGACGTGAAGAAACCCGTCCACAGGATGAACACCTTTTGCCGGTGTGAGCGGCTCCTGAAGTTGGTGGGAACGGAACCAGCTGCTAGTGGTTTCTGCACACGTTCAAGTCCATCAGTGAATGCATCCTGTAAACATGCATCCTGTAAACACGTGTGCTGTACGGTCTAGCCTACCTGCCCCAGACGGCTGGGCTGTGATGGGGCTTTGTCGTGCAAGGCATGCAAGGCGGGGGGGGGGGGGGGGGGGGGGGCCCCCGGGGGGGGGGGGGGGGGGGGGGGGAAAGGAGGCCCCCGGGGCTGCATTTGTGGGAGTGTGTGAAGGGATCTCCTCTGAACCTTCCTTTTGTGTCACTCCCTGGGATTGTGGTTTTGTTTGACAGCTCCTGTTCAAAGAAGAGAAGCTTGCGGAGGAGAAAGCCTTTTCTCCCTCTTTCTCTTCCTCTTTTTTTTTCCTTCTGCCATATGTTTACTTTCACCGTTGCCTGGAATTTCTGTGCCTTGGTCGAAGGTATTGAAAGATTATCCCCTTTATTTAAAGACTTCTTGGGTTACCCCTTTGTAGTTTCACTTGATTAGATTGAATGCGCAGGGCCTTTGTGTTATGATTTTAATCTAATTATAAACATAATATGTGCTCATTTTAGGAAATTGAGGAAGTGTAGAAGAGAAACCATCATATAGGATTCTACCACCCACAGCCTACAGGTGCTTTATTCTATATATTATTGAATATATATGTTAAAAAATAGTTGAGATTATATCATCCCTTTTGTACCTGTTTGATGTAGTTGAGACAAATGCATCATTACAGCGACTAGTTATTAAGTTTAAAGACAGAATTTAATCTCTTAACATAGATTTGCATATGCCTCCGCTGTCCACCCCCACACCCCCCTTTGCAGGATGTCAGTCCTGTATCGTTTTTATGCTTTTTTTTTTTTTTTTTTAATACTTATCTATTTGTGTGAGAGAGACAGAGTATGTACGGAAGAGGGGC